GCCACCAGTGAAGACAGATGTTGTTGAAATTGTTGAGGTCTGGATAGGATGGAAATGCTGAAGGAAGAATTTTCATTTGATTGCACAAATGAGAGACTTGCGTCTTCTCTTGTCCGCCACATCAGAATTTCAAGCTTTGAGCCTTTGCATTGGGGGATTTACCTCAGTGACCTGGCTTCTGTGGCCTCGGTCTCAGACTGAATTACATCAGCGAGCTCCCTACCTGGCAAACCTTTTAAAAAGAGAAGGAATTGTAGCAGCACTATCCCTAGGTCTGTACTGTGTAGACTATCCCTTGCGTGACTCTGGACTCGATAATCAAATGGATGAGTTCCCCTAATAAATTATTTCATCAGATAGAAAACAGAGAAAAGAAGTCAAGAAAGGAACAGAAGGAAAGATTGATTCTGTTCTCTGGAAAACCCTCATAAAGTCATTTAAAGAAAAAAATAACATAAGAAAGGAATGGACACAATTTTGAAAATAAAACTTGTAAAATTCAAAAGCATTCAGCATAGGTCTGACACTGTACTTCCACATTCTACCTCTTCCCAATTGTAGTCATGCGCACTATTTCTCAATATATTATAAGCCTTACAACATATTTATTTTATTTGCAAGACAAAAGAGAAATTCAAAATTTTATAAAATAAAGAGCAAGCTTGTTTTACCTTTCCATAGTACACTCTAATCAGTCCTTCCTTCGAATCCCATGCTACTTTATTTTTTGTTTCTGTTACTTTTAAAAAAATGTTTATAAATATCTGTTTGCAATACATAATTACACTCATTGTAGGGAATTGGTACCTGTACATAACACAACTCAATTATTATTACTGCTATACATTTTTTTGATATCGGAGATCAAACTCAGGACCTTGCACTTGCGAGGCAGGTGCCGTCAGCTCAATTATTTTTACCCTTCCCTCCAACCCTCTTTTACTTTGCCAGCCTGAGAAGTTTTTGTCTTCTAAATCCTTATAAAGTTAATTAACATATATACAAATTAACAAGCAGACCAATAGGGCACTTTAATCGATATCTTAGCACTGTCACTATTACACAACTACATGATTGAAATTACTGTTGTATTATCACAAAATGTTTTCTCCCGGTCCTGGTGTGTGCGTCACTTTCTTCCTGGAGTTGCCCTCTTGCTCACTGCAGCGCATGTATTTCACTGACAGCTTGTTGCTGATGAGTGTGCTCAGTCTGTGTAGCGCAGGTCTGTTTTACATATTTTATTTTCTGTCCTTCAAGAAAATCAACAAGATACAAAATTTGAGTCTTATAACTCCCCCCTCCAAGCACATCTAACGTACAATTATTCCAATATCACCTCTTCCGTGGCTGCTGGTGGAAAGCTAGTGAACTGTCCAGTCTCTGTGTTAAGGATGATCTGTGCTTCCTCTCTGGTTGTTTTTTAATGTATGTGTTCCGTGGTCTTTAATAGAGGTCTTGTATGTATCATGGTTCCTGTGTTTATGGGTTCATGTCATTTCTCACTTTGGAAAAGTCTGTTCCATTTCCTAGAGGATATTATATACTCTTTGTCTTTAGGCTGTCACTCCTTCCCCATCTTTGTCTCCTTCTCCTAGACTTGACTGCACTTCCTTTATGCCTTGTGCTTGTATATCGTATCTATCCATGGATGGCCATGAATATTGTATGTATTTTTTCTTTCAGTGTCTCTGTCTACCTAAGAAAATAAAACTTATCAAGTATTTCAGAAATACTCTCCTCAGCTGTATAGAATTTGATGCTTAACCTACATGTTAAGTTTTATATTCATAACTTCTTTGAGCCAAAAAATAGCAGTTACAGTATTTAACAATTTCTTGAACATTTTAAGGAAATCAATTTGTATTTTCTTTAATTTTTGAAATTTTTCTCTTGTTCTTTCATTCTTATATTAAATATCTTGTACTGTGTGTAACAACTTTTCCCCAAGAAGTCATTGCTGCTAATGAGCTGCTTTCTGTATAAAGACCTGTGTAATACTAATCATTAATTTCCTCTTAAAATTTACTGGTTACTAATATGATGTTTTGTTCCATTGATAAAACATTTTGTGTAATTTTGAAAAAAAAAGTTTTATATTCATAGCATTATTTTACAACTTTCTAAACTTCTATTTTAATCCGTATTTTTGTTGTTGTTGTATCTTCCTTTACTAGTTTTTATTCCATCAATTTTATTCCAAAGTTGATTGCTAGTAGCATTCAATAGGAAATCATGTATTAGTGTATATTTTATAGTTCTAAGACTTTATAAGAACAATTGAATCAATTGGAGCAAAAAAAAAAATTGAAAGTCAAATGCTACTGCTGTATTCACAAGGATTTGCAAATCTAATGTTGAGGTAAAAACTTAAACCTAAATCATTTTCCACAGATTGGAAACAAGGAAACAAAATGTTGTACCAAAAAAAAAAAAAAAAGAAAAGAAAAACACTTAAAGAAGTAAAAATAAAATTCATTAGTTTAATGGATTCCTTTAAATATAATTTAAAGTAAAATATCATTATACCCCAAAAGATAAGTGAGAAACCCCTGATAAAGGTAAAAATCTGAAAATCATTGTTGTTAGCATTTATCGGGTACTCTATGTCATGACTATCTGTATGTAACTGATTGACAAAAACTCATCTGACCTCGTTCTCCATAATTTGATGGGCCCAGACTACAAGTAAAATAGTTACTTGTAGTCTAAGTAACTATTTTAAAGATAACAATGTATAAAAGATTAACTACTGTTACTATCCTATTGGTTTTTATGAAAATTTGTTCATTCTTTTTATAAGAAATAAAAAATTAAAAACAAAATATAGGCAATAGAAATATTTTGGCACATTTACTAGGCAATTATAAACTATTATGATATCACATCTATCAAGGTTAGTTATATATATAATCAAATACAAACTAATGATATATAAGTATATACAAAAACAACCTTAGTTATTATCTACACTCTCACCTTCAAACATAGCAGGAAAAATCCTTACTAAAAGCCATATCACGCCCTGCTTATGTGTTGGTTTTTCAGGCAAAGTTTTTCTTTTCTGGTGCGTATAGCTAAACAAACAGGCAAAATCATCAGCTCCTTAATTCAGCTATATCATCTTGTTCCTAAGAAAACAGATCAGAAAGGTAACTTGTCATAGCATTACTTATATTAATGCATAGTTATTTTCCCTATAAAATAGTTTTTCCATGATATTTTAGAAAATATCCTACACATAGCATTTATAACTTAGAGTAAATGTTAAAAAAGATTGAACAAGGTATAATAAAGCACTTTGTTATTTAAAAGAAAAAAAAAGTCTCAGCTGGCTGTGAAGAACTCTGCCAGGGACTCCACTGAAGAGAAGGCATTTAGGACAGGTCTCAAAGGGTTAGTAGAATTTAAACAGATATGATTTGAAAACACAGAGAGATGTGTTTCTGGGTCAGAAGCTAGAGACAGGAGTAGTGAAGAATCAAGCTGAAAAGGGAGACTGGGCTCAGCCCACGAAGTATATTAAATATAAAAAGCATTAAGTACATCAGTGAAACAGAACAGGGATAACTGAAGTGGCCCCAAGGATGTGAGAACCAAATAGAAGACAAAGGCAACAAGCATAGATTGTGAGCAAGGAGTTTCACTTATTTTATATGCTGAAATAATTTCTCTTTCCCTATTTCACTTAAAAACTACCATCTAAATAGATTAAAGATGCAAGACATCAAATGCAATAATAAACACTTCTAGACATTCTGTGGAAAACATTGATATTAACTTAAGGTTACAGATAATTTCCTAAACAAGAAAACGCTCAAAACTATGAGCTTTTTTTATCCTAAAAATGTTTATAGAATTGTATCATAGACACCATAATAGGTTAACAATACAATGAGGAATAATATTTGTGAAAAATAAAGTCTTAATGGCTCTAACACACAAAGAAGTCTGATAATTTAAATAGTGTACACAGACAATAAAAGTTAAAAGAAAATAAGAAAAATTAAATGACCAAATACTTCATATAAATGTAGAGGCAAATAGCCAATATAATGAAAAAATATCCAACTGTTTGAAAGGTCAGGGAAATAATTAAATAAGCAACATAATACAATTTTCTACTTATCAATACTGAAAATAATTAAAGAGATTGCTCACATAACACGCTGGCAAGGATATGGTGAAAAAGTACCACATGCCGATAGATGTAAGAACTGCTGCTATATTATTGAGTACAGTCTGGCAGTACTTATTAAAATGAAAAATGGCCATGCCCTGTGATCTACTAATTGGAGTTTTATAAAGGTTTCCTGCAGAAAACAAAGCAGTGGTGCATGATACATCTGCAAGATTCTTCATAATAGCGTTGTGTACTTGGTGACAGAAATAAAATAATAAAGCAAAACTGGTGCTATGCTAAATGCTTCATTTTAAGGGGCAGTTAATTAAGCTCTGTTACATCCACACCAGGTAATAAGTAGCAAATAATCAGCCCAGTATTTATTGACCATGGTATTTTAATAACAACAATATATTCTACTTTTGAAAGACAAAAATAACAAAATACATGTGGATATATCTATTATAAAGGCAGATAAAATCTTTGTGGTTGCAGAAAAACATAAATTGTATTGGTGTCAGGTAGGGAAAGTTCTTCATTTGTTTAATTCATAACTTTTGCTTGACTCGTTATATGAAGCATTTATTAGTAATTTTCCAAATTCCCTTTGTCATTTAAAAACTATAATGGTTAAAATGTGAAATGTGAATGTCTCTGAATTGCTTTACTGAAATAAGATGAAAAGGAAACTACACCTGTATGCTCTATGTGTCAGACAATCCACATGGAAAGTAAAATATATCAACGGGCACGTGGCCCTTAATTGTGAAGACATTTTCCTGCACTCAGCTTATGAAGCCCTGAAATTACCAGCGAGCAGAATCTGTGTTCCTCATAGTGGAAAGGGTGTTAACCGTCCTTTTGCTCTCTGTTGTAGTCCTGTTCCAACCATCACCTGGATGAAGGTTAATGGCTATATTCCTAGTAAGTCACGACTGCGGAAATCGCAGGCAGTGCTGGAAATACCGAATGTGCAGCTGGACGATGCAGGCATATACGAATGCAGAGCTGAGAACTCTCGCGGGAAGAACTCATTCCGTGGACAGCTGCAGATATACAGTAAGTGTTTCCAGCAGAGCAGGATGCCCTAGTCCCCAGATTGGGCCAAAAATGCATATTTAAGTAACTATTATTTGTTAGTACATGGAAACCAAGCAATTAATTGATTATGTTCTTTTGTATGGTAGCACCTCATGAAAATGATTTTGCTCATAAAAATGTTTCAAATTAAAAATGCATGAGGAACTAACCATCTCTTTGAATAACATACAGACTTTATGGTCCTTAAATGAGATGTTCTCCTGATGAGTTAAAAATCTTCTGAATTTTATTAAATGAATCTGGATCTTGGGGTGAATCCGTAGTAAAAATCTGTTACCCACAGACTGAATACTGTGCAGCTTCTTCTTCTTCTTCTTCTTCTTCTTCTTCTTCTTCTTCTTCTTCTTCTTCTTCTTCTTCTTCTTCTTCTTCTTCTTC